GCCGAAAATTGTCTATTACGCTCGATTGCCGCGCGATAAACCTTAATTGAGCCCGCAACCGGACCGCGCGCGGCCCGATGTTACTTTACGAGCTTTGGAACTTTGCTGCCGCCGGTTCGCTCACATTTCCGAACACCGGAGTCGAGCACCGCCGTCTCCATTACTCTACATCAGGAAATCCGAAGGCAGATTGTATCGATGGAAATGTAATTTCGCTCCTTCGAATTCGGCTTTAATTGACCGGCCACGGCGACGCTTCCGTTCCCCTGTCTCGCTCCATGCCCGGCTCAATTTTTCTCGGAAGCAGGGACAATTAAGCGAAGCAATTTCCTTTGACGCCATCGCTTTGACGCCAGTCCTTTCCTCGCGTGTTGTTCGTTCCACGCAACATTTATTCGTTTATTCGTAAACGTTGCCAGTAAACCGATCGATCAACTATCTCCTAAAGCCGAATCAAACTTCTCCAAACCAGTTCCAACGATCTCTGCGAGCCGGCAGGCTTCGAATCTAGCTCTCCAGGCAGCCAAAAATGAGTATCTCACGGTTCCAAAATCGCTGGAAAAGGGCTGGATCGTGTCGATCGTGATCGACGGAAGCGGCGGAAAACTCAAAACGGCATTTTCCTGCATCCTCGCCGAATCAAACATCTCCAAACCAGTTCCAACGATCTCTGCGAGCCGACAGGCTTCCGATCTGGCTCTCCAGGCGGCCAAAAATGAATATCCTATGGTTCCAAAATCGCTGGAAGAGGGCCGGATCGTGTCGATCGTGATCGACGGAAGCGCCGGCAACGCGCGCTCTGCGCCGCGCCGCGCCGCGCCGCATCGCGCCGGTCCCGCGAGGATTAATCCGTGATGCGCGATGCGTGGTGGCCTGCAGTTAAGTCATCCGTGTCGTAACGGCGCTGTTCTCGAGAGCGCAGCCCTCTCGGCTCTCGACGGTGCAAGGTGGCCGGCGCGCGGCGGTAACGCGGTAACGCGGTAACGTGTCCGTGTCAAACAACGCGGCCGAGTCAGAGGGCAGAGCGCGAAAACGGCGATACGGTCGATAGTGGGGAGTTCCCTGCGAGACGAGGATGCAAAAGGCGAGGCAGACAAGGAGGAGGTGATGGCGGAGGAGGCGGAGGGAACGGAGCAGAGGATGCGGAGAAGAAAGAAGTTCGAAAGAGGGTGCCCCGTGGCTGTCCGAAGACGAGTGGAGAACCAGGGCGGTAAACGGGGGGGAGGGCAGGAGGGGGAGGGGAACAAGGAGGAACCGGAGAGAGCCGAAGACACCGCGAGAAAGAGAGAATAATGCGTTAAAGCAGCAAGCAGCAACTACTCTAATTGGCCACTTTGTCCATTTATTCGATTTATTTAAATTATGGGACAATTGACAGTAGGCATTCTATTTTTTAAATCTCCCCGGCCAACCGGCTGATTGGGCGAGATTGGCGTGAGACACTGGCCCCACAGATTCCCCAGTTGTGGGCTTAATCAGCTTTGATTGCTGTCCTCTCTCTCTCTCTCTCTCTCTCTTGCTCTCTCTCTCTCCCTCTCTCTCTCTCTCTCTCTCTCTCTTTCTCTTTCTCTCTTCTTCTGCGCTGCTCCTCTGTTCCACGTTTCTCTGTCTTTCTTTCTGTTCTCGCGTTATTTTCTTCTTTCTCGCACGTGCTCTCGCGCGCACAGCCAACCGAGAGCCTCTCTTCTCTCACTCCCTCTCTCCTTCTCTTTTTATTGTATGTCGGCGAACGGCAGCGCTACACACGACACAGGCAACGCACAATTTTATTTTATTCCGTTTCAGCGCGGATCTCGCGACGGCGAGCTTAATATCGTCCGGGAGTGCGAGACGTTGATTGGACGACCTGAAATTGTGGGAATGTGTCTCTGGATTACAGAGACACCGAGAGAGGCCGCCCACTCTTCTCTCTCTCGCTCTCTCTTTCTCTCTCTTTCTTGCTCTTTCCGTCTCTCACGTTTCCCCCTCCGGCCCTGCCATCCTTTGTCAACCGATTACCGTAATTTCCGCTGTCACTGCTGATTCGTTTCTTCGTTTTCAACTGAAAATCCCCTCGCTCCACCNGAATAATGCGTTAAAGCAGCAAGCAGCAACTACTCTAATTGGCCACTTTGTCCATTTATTCGATTTATTTAAATTATGGGACAATTGACAGTAGGCATTCTATTTTTTAAATCTCCCCGGCCAACCGGCTGATTGGGCGAGATTGGCGTGAGACACTGGCCCCACAGATTCCCCAGTTGTGGGCTTAATCAGCTTTGATTGCTGTCCTCTCTCTCTCTCTCTCTCTCTCTCTTGCTCTCTCTCTCTCCCTCTCTCTCTCTCTCTCTCTCTCTCTTTCTCTTTCTCTCTTCTTCTGCGCTGCTCCTCTGTTCCACGTTTCTCTGTCTTTCTTTCTGTTCTCGCGTTATTTTCTTCTTTCTCGCACGTGCTCTCGCGCGCACAGCCAACCGAGAGCCTCTCTTCTCTCACTCCCTCTCTCCTTCTCTTTTTATTGTATGTCGGCGAACGGCAGCGCTACACACGACACAGGCAACGCACAATTTTATTTTATTCCGTTTCAGCGCGGATCTCGCGACGGCGAGCTTAATATCGTCCGGGAGTGCGAGACGTTGATTGGACGACCTGAAATTGTGGGAATGTGTCTCTGGATTACAGAGACACCGAGAGAGGCCGCCCACTCTTCTCTCTCTCGCTCTCTCTTTCTCTCTCTTTCTTGCTCTTTCCGTCTCTCACGTTTCCCCCTCCGGCCCTGCCATCCTTTGTCAACCGATTACCGTAATTTCCGCTGTCACTGCTGATTCGTTTCTTCGTTTTCAACTGAAAATCCCCTCGCTCCACCGTCGAGCTCTTTTAACCGGACCCGCGTGCCTCGTTGTCTCATCGAACATCGATTAACCCGTTTATTAACTTCGTTTATCTCCTCGTCTGTACAGGCTTCCGAAAAAAACGGGAGACCGATGCTTCAGGATTTTCGAAAAAATTAACGCGTTAACGTCGACTTTTTTATCGGCAGCCAACAAACGCCGGAGATATCGACGATCGAGAACAAAACTCTAATGGAAACGTCCTTCCTGTTGTCTCGGATCGGTTTAACAAACTTGTACGCGATCGAATTTTTAGATCAGAGTCGAACGAGTTAAACGAGTTTCGATAAACGAATAACAACCGTTTAAATTTCGGTAAAACGATCGACGGTACGATCGATCCGGAGCGGTCGCGTCAATTTCCGGAGGACTTCCGAAATTATTTAAATTCGCGCACAATGGTCCCGCATCTCTCAATTATCAATTCCCACGGTCGCACGGCGTCGGATCGGTAAATCTCGTTCAACGAAGGACACGAGCGTGTGCGCGCTCTAAACGCGAACGCTGTGGCGGGCTCGATCCGTCCCATCTTCTCTATTTATTCGATTGAATCGGTGCAGGCTGGTGAAACGCGTGCAACCTGACGAAACGAGTCGTGTCCCATGCTTTCAGCGTTTTGTGGCCGGGGGCTCTTCCCCCTTTATTGGAATATCCGCCCACAGCATTATGGGAATTATCAAGGAAATGGGATGAGCGCAAAGTGGGTCCCACGAGGGGGCTGAGGGGGGCTTTGCTCCGAGTCGCCGCTGCCGCCGAGAGCCGCGGACGATCGGGAAAGAGAGGAAGAACGGGCCGCGTGGAAACGGATTCATGCAGGTCCCCCATACGCACCCCCATCCCCCCGTGTCTCTTCGGAAAAAATTGTGTCTCCGATGGGGTAATTACGACGCTTCGTCGCGCCGCTCGTATCGTCGTTCTACAACGCCGCGGATAATACCAATCCAAGGTCCCCGTTCGTAGATACTTTTTTTCGAGACGGACCAAGCGATTCGTGCACGCTAAATGGAAAAAGTGTTCGAGTTTAACGGTCGGAAATATTCGCCGGAAATATTCTCCGGGTCGCGGAACTTTGCAAACACCTGTTGCACCCCCATCGCTGTCACGGCGAATCTGTCGTTTCAAGCTCGGATTAAAATTCGACCGGAGAACGCGTCGAACGAGATAAGCAGCTCTTAACAGCTTTCGACGGTAGAAGCGTCGCTAAGTTGCTTCGCGATCCCGAGCAAACGCGATCGATGAGAATTCGTTCCGGAAAAATGAAATTGACTTCCTGTTTAAACCAGTGCTTTATTTAGAAGTACATTCGGCACGGTCTCCGGTTATTTTATCGCGGCAAAATCTCAAAAAAGGCCAAAGCGGTACAGCCCTTTGTCCACAACACGGAAAAAAGTTGACGAAGATTCTGTTAACAATTTATTTTGTTCGATGGATGAACGTAACACCTTTGCAGAGAATTGTCTTCCCAAAAAATGACAGCAACGATCTCGAATCGTCTTTTATGAATTAAAACATGTTTTCATTCAAGAAGGAACTACTCGTTCACCCACTCCTTCGTTCACGTGCTAGTTAAAATCAACGTTTCCCCAAAGAGATGCAGTTACTCGGACATTTTTAAAAATCCTGCAGCAACGAAATTGCTGCGAACTCTTCCATGTGCGCGCTATCGAGTAAGTTAGCCGTTTCAGAAAAAGATCCACTGGATTCTCCAGAAAAAATTCTCAGAAGCACCTACCGTTCGGAGCATCGCTTAGCGTTGCGCCTCGAACGGTCGAGCGAAATTTATTCGATAACTTTATTTCTCCGGGCACGCTTCGCAACGACGCGTCGTTCTAATCGCAAACCTAGCGCGAGAAATGCGTCCGCTAAATCGAGGCTGAGGAATTAAGTCCGGAGAGTATGAAGGAGCGTCTCTCGCGCCGAATCTGATCGAACCAGATCATCGTTCGTCCAGACGCCCACGCTCCCCGATCCCCGATCCCTCCGCGCCGATTTTTTCCCTTTATCATTCTTTGTTTCTCGTGGCCTCCCTTCCCGAGGAGAGGCGCGCGCGCAGGGTCGTCGAACGCCGGGGACTCGATTTGAATCTAATTACGATCCCGATAATTCCGTAAGGAGGAGGAAATAGTAACTCACCGGAAACCTTCGGGTCAGCTGCCTCCACCTTCATCGCCGCCAGGCTCGCTATTGTCGGCGGTACCTAAAAGAAAATACATTACGATGTACAATGCACCAGCATGCTCAGGGCCGGCTCGCGACGGGGACGAAAGGGGACCCGCCGGTCGCTGGTCGCCGGCCGCGCCCACGCAGGGGCCCTGGGGGACGGACCGAACGATTCTATGATGCTAGCGACTCGCGACACGTGTCACGCGTCGTCGAAAAACCCGCCAAATTATCCGGGCCCTGGGGCGCGATCTTTTCTCCGAGCCTTGTCCCCTCCTTATCCCGCGATCTATACATTTTCGAAAACCACCTCCGACCGTTCGCTTCCAATAATTACCGACGCGTTCCTTTTGCGATCGAACTGTCTGTGCGACGACGCGGTCCAGCGATTCGATTTATTCGAGGCTTTAGAGACATTCTCCACCCTTGTCGAACAATTGAACCATTGAAACGAGCAAAATTTGTCGAAAGTTCTGATAGCATCAAATTTGGTAGATTTGGTCCGTGAACTCTTCAAACGTAGACTTTGGATATCGTGTTATGAATCGCCAACGATCTGCATAAAGACATACTTATCATCTGTTTAAATCTTATCGAACGAAAAGTAGAGGCTTGGAAGTAAATTACTAATGTCACAGTTCTCTACTAAAGTTATCATTTCTATATCGAACATTACCAACGATCGAAAATTGGAAATATTTCTTTCAGAAATTTGCGAGCGCCACGATCGCGCTGGAAGAATCGCGCGAAATTCGTTGGATCGAGGTAGCTACGATCCTGCGAAGAATTGGTGTCGTCAACCTTTGCTCCCTCGTTGGATTTTCACTGCGGCGGGGATCGCGCCTTTATCGTTACGACATCCTCCGGGGGACGTTAGGTGAAGCGGAAACGGCTTCCGGTTCCTCGAAAAGGTCCAGGAATCGGAATACCGAGTCGTTTCAACCAGGTCGACGACCTCGCCGATGCAAGCGCGCCGCATCGATCCAATTTCTGCTGGATAACGCTTCTACAAACAATTGCTTCTACGCTGTACTCTGGCCGATAAATCATCCACGAAACGTACCGCGAACGTGAAATCGATAGATTTGCACAACAGCGAAACATTCGGGCGAACGCTCGTCGCGGAGAAACCCTGGAACGAGAACGTGCTGAAATATGCTTGTGCATTTAGCAACGACGTCGCTGATCGAGAAACAAAATCGTGGAAAAACAGAGCATGGCTGAGATGGCGTTTCTCGAGAAGCAGCGGGAATCGACGAATGCGCTAATTGGTGGGTCCGGTGGTCGAACGAAACGAGAGAAAACCGTAGAAGCGGAGGCACGGAAGAGTCGCCGGTTGCCGGAAGCCCCATCGCGGTGCAAATTATTCGAATCCTGTACGATTTCCGAAGCCGTATTCTGCGATGCGTCGTTGAATTTATGAAGCGATTGCCACATCGTTCGTTTCGTCCGTCCTCAACCGTCGCCTCCTACCCCCTTCGTCGTCGCCGACGCCGCCGACGACGCTGACAACGACGGTTCGTTTCCATTTTCTAATCGAACGTGCGCGTCGACGATTTTCTCGATCCGCGTCTCTCCGGAGAGAGAGAGGATCGAACACGCGTCTCACGTGCACGGCAATCGCGTTCCATCGATCCCCCGTTCGGCCGCCGATCGGCCATTTATATTCCGCGCTCATAATTATCGTCGACCTTCGATGCCCAATATTACGGATCGGCGTGCGGATCGCATGGCAATGCGCCGGAAAGAATGTGCCGTCGACGTTTCCGCGGGAAATCGCTCGGGACTCCGTCGAAGTCCTGCGGAGATCTCTCGTTCTTCTATTTTGCGAACGATCGGCGGATCCGCGAAGCCTAAGTTTCGCGATCGTTTCGTTGCCAGAAATGGTTGTACGGTGATTCCACTTGGGGAAATAACACGATTATGTAACTCGATTAAGATCGAGACGAGTTTTGAACGCTTGTCGACGATGTTCCGATGTTATTTGAGTCGCAGAGATACCATAGATTGCTTCCGGACGAAGAGAATCGCTGATCGATACTGGAAAAATGTCACCCAGAAGACGCAGTAGCCTGTCTAAAGCTTGATAAAACACTTGCCGATGATGTCAACGAATAAATCGAGCCCGCGTTAAATTAGCATTGTTGCCGGCAGCTCCGTTCCAGCCAGGAACATAATGCGAAGCAAGGAAACTCAGCCGAAGATCGCGAGGTATCGGTCCACACCCATAAACGCTTCTCTAAGCCGCCTAAATCTTTCGACAGTCCTCGTTTATCACTCCCAACGATCTCAATTTCTGGCACACACACACACACACGCACGTACACGGACCTAGCGCCGCATTCCTACAAGCTCATTTAATCCGAGACGTCGCTGTAAAAGGAAGAATCAATTAAAAAAATACCGCGCACTCATTCGAAACGATTCCCTGTGAAAGAGGATCGTCCTAGTCATCGTGAAACTTTCCGGAAACAATGGGCGCCTTCGCAATCGCTCTTCCAACTGTTCCATATACAAGAAATATATAAAGTCGCGTTTACGGCACTTGTGGACCTCTCTAATTTGTCGTCGTTGCGTGTGCTCGTATTTTTCTGGCACTCTTCGATCGATTCTCCGTAATTACTAATCAGCGAGAATTATTAAGCGATCGTCGAGATTCGGTTTCCATGTAAATCGCGTTCAGCGACTAGAGGAATGTCTCCCTAATTGGCGCCCAAATTGTACAGAAAAATGGACGATTTGGGAAGAGGAGATACGGTTATTCGAGTCTTGCGGTTCGTTTCCATAGTTACGAATTGTCAAGAACTATAAAAACAAGCTGCAAGGCTCGAGTAATCGTATCCCCTCTTCCCAAATTGTCCACTTTTGTGCACAATCCGAGCGTCAATTAGGGAGGCTGTACTGTAAATCCTATCTGATCGAGTCGAGTGCCATCGAACCGTTTTACAAGTTCCAATTGTTGGAAACGATTTAACAGTTTCGCGAGCTCGTTGCAACTGGAGCCAGAATGAATACGGTCTGTTCCACGAGTTTGTTACGTGAAAACCATAAGTTTGTACTACCTTCTAGAAACGACCTACCGAAGCTTCGAGTGTGCTTTCCCATCGGTAACTCTAAGTGTCCCGAGAGGCCCGTGTTGGTGCCGTTTTGCAAATACTAACTGAGCGGCCCGGAGCACAAAGTTGCAGCTCGCGAGTGCGCGCACAGAGAGAGAGAGAGAGAGAGAGAGAGAGAGAGAGAGAGAGAGAGAGTGTAAATGCAGCAGGATGCTCCGCAAAGCGGATTTCGATTGTAGAGTAGCCCGCGCGGGTCCCACAGTTCGAAGCTGGCCGACAAAAGCGCAGAAACCCAAGAAGAAGAAGAGAAGAAGGTGCAGAAGAAGTAGAGAGTCGCGGAGGAAGGAAACGGCTATCATAGAAACAAATAGAAAATACCATAGCCTGTGTACGCTGCCGAGAGGACAACGACGAGGACGAGGACGACTACGACTAAGAAGAAGAAGAAGAAGAAGAAGATCGAGCATGAGAAGGAAGAACACGTTGCGAGAGAGAAAGAGAGAGGGAGAGGAGAGGATGGAAAGAAGAATCGGTCGAAAGAGAGAGAGAGGGGGGGGGACGCAGAAAGAGGTAGAAGGGAGAGAAGACGGTGAGTAAGAGCGAGAAAGAGAGAAGAAGAGCGGAGGATAGCAAAGGGGCGGGGAAGAGGGGGAGGGAGGAGAGGGCAAAGAGGGAACCGGGAGAGTATAGAGGTATATGAGAAAACAATAGAGCTGATTTGCAAACAATAGAATAACGTTAAGAGTCGAGTATTATACGCCGTTGTTACTTCTTGTGCCATAACGCCGGAGAGCATATGCCCATTAATATTCAAAGGCGAAAATAATGTAAACGACACGACAAAAATCGGGGGAATAATTTCAATTCTCCCCGTATGGGATTCCAGCACAGCGTGGCGATACACAGAGTCGAGAGAGCCGAGAGAGCCGAGAGAGCCGAGAGAGCCTCCCGGGCCCGGGCCCGGGCCATTTCGTGTCTCCTCGGAGACGACAGAGACGACAGAGAGCCGACCGGTAAAAGCGCGTACCCGCGAGCAGAGACGGTCCTGGCATCGGGCCCCGTCGTCGCGCGTCGTCCCCCATCGCGGACGCTCGCGTGGTTTCCCATGGATTTCCCATTCGGGTCCCATTTTCGTCTCCACTTGCACCACGCTACTAATTCGCTGACAATTCAATTTGCTGTTTGCAATCGATGTACTGTTTTAAATTATTCGTATAGATATCGAAGACGAGAAGATATTTCTAAATGTTATACAGTAATGTCTCTCTAATCGACGCTCGGATTGTCCACAAAAATGGACAATTCGGGAAGAGGAGATACGATGAATCGAGCCTCGCGGCTCGTTTCTATAATTAAGAATTGTCATCAACTATAAAAACGAATCGCAACGAGCTCGAATAATCGTATCTTCTCTCCCCAAATTGTCCATTTTAGTGGACAATCCGAGCGTCGGTAAGGGAGGCATTACAGTAGTCGATAGAAGAATAAACTGGTTGGAAAATTGCCGTAGTAGGAATTTTGGAGCACTGCCGACAGAAACCGATGGGAGTTCGAGGGCACCGTTCGTTCGGTGAATCACTGGCGCGTTTTGATGACTCGATGATGAGTCGTCGACAGTCGGTAAAGAATCATGCGCCGCGCAGCAGCGTTAGAATAATTCAAGGGTTCGTGGAACCGCGGACAATAATTCGCCGCGATATCCGTTGCTGTAATCTGCCGCGTCGAAAGAGTCCCTTGATTCTTGACCTTAATTCGTTCAGACGTGGTTCCCATAAAATAAACGAGAACAATGATTCCTTTCCCCTCGATTCGCGTCGCGATAAAATAACCGTGAGAGGAACGATCGCCGGCGTGGGCAATAAAGTTTCCCCGTGAAATTTGGACAGTATCGGACCGTTTATCTTATCGTTGGCAACGCGTCTGCTTCCATCAACTGTTACAATGAATCTGCTACAGCAATTCCCAGCAAATATCACTCGCGGACAACTGTATGTCGGAGAATTTATGTCCACGGACAAATTTTAAACGCCGACGATCGCTTCCAGAAGAATCGAAAGCTACGAGAATGGTATCAGAAAAAAAAAAGTTCGATTCGACGATAAAAAATATTCTCTTCATCGATAGATACAGTTCTCGTCGTCGATTTCGATTTCGATCCGTGAAGTGGAGAAAATGAGAAATGGAAGATCGAAGTACGGAACTAATTGATGTTTCGTGGAAAAAAAAGGAAGTTAATCATGGAAGAAAAATGGATGGATCTGATAACCGTCGTAGATTTCACGTTCTCGTGAATTTCAATTAGTCCATTAGTCCATTAACCCTTCCCGACACCGCGGACGCCTATTAACCCCAACGTGGTCTTGTGTCGCAACGCGAGTATCGAACGTATTTATCTCTAGTTATGGCGTTTAATTGCGATAATCGGCTTCGCCGCGGCGAGACTGGTTCGAACTTCGCTTTCTACGAAGTCGAGCGAATACCGTCGGATAAGGAGAAGCAAATTTTTACGGTTCGATATTACTGGAACCTGCTGGAATAGAAAAAAAGAGAAAGAAAAAACAGCAAAACTTTTCTCGCGTCGATTTTCCAGAAGTTCATTGTTCTTCGGCTGCAGTTTGGAAGCGAAGCGTGAACGTTTCGCGCCGCGAAACGCTGAATTAGCGACTATATTTTCGAGAAGATTGCGTCAGACCTTGAGGAATTAACTTTCTAAACGAACAATTTACATTCCGCGCCGTCCTCCGACACACCCTTCGGTAACATCATTCGATACGCGATTATGTGCATATTATTGCAGTAAATACGAACGCGATTGGCTGCAAATCGCCTGTAACGTTTAACCAAACAAAGCATCGGCCGTCGAAAATCGCGCGCGGAGAGATTAATATCGATCCGCATTCTCGCGCTCGCCGCACGCAATCAACAACAGATTGCTCGAAACGAGAACGATCTCTGCGAGATAAAACTTCTTCCGCTGAAAAGCGACGCTCGTCGCTTTCGACGAAGAGGCGACGTTTCGCGACAACGCGAATGCATCATCGAGTCATCGATTCTGTACTACACGTTGCCGTTGGCTGCGGTTCAATTCCTCTGAAAAAGATCGACGAGCTCGAATTTGTTAGTCTCCCTAAACGCGGAACGATTTAGCGCTATTTTTACCTCTCTTCGGGAAAGGAGAGATCGCGCGGCGAAAACGACCGTCGTCGAACGATCCGATAAGTGAAAGGGACGGTTAATGAGCAGGATAATAAGAGCATTAATCAAAATTTCGACTGCGGGACACGCGCTGCTCTCCGGCTAACGATCGCTAAGAATCTAATTATTTAATAAATGCTTCGAAAAGCGACCGGCGATATTTCACTCGAGATTATTCGCTGGTTTACGATACTGCGAGTCGCCAATAAAACGGGACAATTATTTTCATATAATTGGCTGGTCGCGCGCGCCAGCGTCATGGCATGGCCTCTTGGCGTTGATCGTTAAAGTGGAAACAAGTTGAACGAAATCCAACCGCTGTAGCAGCAGATGCTCGCCGGCATGTTGACAATCCGGTGTCACGTCATCATCAACCGCGAGGCCCGACGACCGTAATCGATCTACGTCCTCGACTCGCGAATCGAGCCTCCATTTGCACCATCAAGCCCTCTCGGACCTCGACAGCCAAAAAAGCCCATTTTTCTGCCCTTGATCAGTCACCTGCCTCATGCAGATTCTTCGCCATCTTTTTTCGAATCTTTCGGGACCCTTTCGAGCCGATCGAAAATTCTTTCTTTCCCATCTTCCGGCAGCTTGGCGCCTTCTTCGAATCAATCAGCGATCGAGATAATTTATAGGAAAATCGATTAATGCGAAAGACGAACGACCAGCTTCGTTTAATCGATCTCGTTGACTCGATGCTCAGTTTTATAACGAAACGATAAGCAAAAAGATTTATTCTCAATGGTTGGCACGCTGTACTTCGAATTTTTTAACGGACAGCACACGCTCTAGATACGAAAAAGATCTTGAATTATTCGATAAAGAGCAATTTAGGATTCGTTAATCCAAAGGTACGATTTTTGTATTCAAATTCATGCTACACGACAAAGAATGTCTCTAAAACCAATAGAATCCGCTCCACCCCGGAACAATCAGCGAAAACAATAAACCGGCTTCGATGTGCACACGTGTGCATCCTCCCTAACAGCGAAACTCCACTTTCCCCGCTAAAAAGATTCCACTGTCGACACGCGGCTCCACGGTCGCCCTCGCCTAATCGAGTCAAGGGATCGCAAAAAAAACGCGAGAGAAGAGAGAAAAAAAAACTCGAAACAGTCGATTTCCATGGCGAGAGAACGATAAAAACCGAGGCGAGGCGAGGGCGTGCGAGCCGGGCCCCCGTCGCCTCGCCTCGCGTCGCGTCGGGGGATGAAAGGCAGCACCCCTCGCCTCGTCTAATTAATTTGTTCGAGTGACTCACCCTCGACTCTTCTGGTTCCTCCCTCCGGACGTTCTGGAAGAGGACGCTGCCCATCTGAACCTGAAGATTCTGCTGCAACAGTTGCGCCAGCTGAGGATTCTGCGAGAGTATCGCAGGGTTCTGCTGCAACAGTTGAGCCAGCGCTGGGTTTTGCACCAAGATTTGACTTAGGGGTGAATTCGCCATCGCGTGAAGGGACTGCTGTTGCTGATGTTGTTGTTCCTGGTTGTGCGGTTGTTGCTGCTGCTGCTGCTGCTGCTGCTGTTGCTGTTGTTGCTGGTGGTGTTGTTGCTGGTGGTGGTGCTGGTGCTGTTGCTGGAGGCTCGGAGAGTTCGCGTTCGATGTTTGACAGGACTGAGACAGGTTGCTCGGGGGTGGATTGTGTCGGGGTGGGCTCTGGGGGGTGTGCGGCGGCGTGGGTGGGCTTCCTGGCGCCATCGACGACGCATCCTTTTCCTCTTTCACTTTCACCTTGCCTGCAATCAGAAAGAAAGCGGTGGCTTCAGCCAAACATGTTCGGAACCTTCGTCTTCTATTTTATTGTTAAATTATTCACGAGACGGGAGACTTTTGTTCTCTCAAAATGAGAATATATTATCGCGAATGGCTATTGTGGAGATCGCACAAAATTTCGCCAGTATTTAGAAACGTTACAAGCAAAAAGTACAAATTGCAGATGTTCATAAAATCGCCTAATATTTGACGGTACGAAACGCGGTAAATTAAATATTTCCAGAATAAATTTTTCCTTCGCGTTGCAAGGGCTTGCAAAGAAATTGAACGTCCGAGTAACGTCGAGCCCGCCAAATTTAAGCTCGAATCGAGCTCCGATCTATTTATCGTGCTTCCAATGGACTTGGATCATCATCGCCACGACCGTTCGTCGGTGACCAACCCTTCGGAACTTTCCCACCTACCGCACATTTTCGCGGCAAGCTGCCGGACCACCTCCTCGCAAGGGTGCCTCGGCGAGACTGACTACCCTTCGACGATTTTCCAAGATTTCGGAAAGCCTCGGGAAAAATGGTGGGGACCGGGACCGCGTTTATTGGTCGGGCACCTCGGTAGCGATCGACGAATAGCAGCGGAGCGACTTCGTGCCGGAAAAAAACTGACTGAGGGTGAGTTTTTGCCGGTTGGAGGACTAGACACGTGAAATTGAGACGTCTCGATCCAGAAAAAGCCGCAATCGACTGCGAGCAGGTACATCTGCCCGGGGTCACCGTGCCCCGAAGCCGAGGATTTCCGTCGCCCCTTTCTTTTTTTTCTTCGCCAACTATCGCACGAGGACTAGCCACGAGAAGGATAAATTTAGAACCCGGATCTACGATTATTGTTCCGCCAGCTAACTATTCTCTGGAGGCAGGAAACCATCTTTAAACAAATTTTCTAGCATAGCAAATTATGACAAATATTCCTCATAGATTATATCACTCTCAGAATATATCTGAAATTATTTCTGCTTTCCTTGAAATCTATTCATCGTAGATATTCTGCTTCTGGAATTCATTTTATTCTAATTATCGTTCAGGGTTATTTTTACGCCCCTAAGTTATATAGAATATAACTTACAATATTATATTATAATAATAATAATAATAATAATAAAATAATAATAATAAGTTATATTATAATATAATATTATATATAGAATTCGACTTCGAATATTCTTCCAAATAAATTCTAAACCCTTCCATTTTCGAAGTTAACGTGATTTTTCTATCTTCGGGTAGAGGTTCCAGGTGTAAACCTGTTAATCGAAGCATCTCGAAGCTCCGTCAGTTCGGGAAGATTGATAAATCTGTCGTGAGCGACGAGAAATTGAATTTTCCGAAAATGAGCGTCGCCGGCCCAGTTTATGGGACTCATAAATCCCAACAATCCACGACTGTCCGAACGAGTTCAATTAAAAGCTCCGACAGCCGGTCCCGAGAACCGGGGCCCATGGAATAGAGAACGGTTTCCCACAAGATCGGTCTCCTAAATTACCTCGGAGGATAGTCATTTTTCATCGTCGAAGCGGTATCCGTCTCGTTAAACGACGCCCTCGGAGAGGAAAAAGGAAAATCCCGTAATGGCAACGGGAAACGGGAAACAGGAAACGTGGAAAGGGATCGGAGGAACGCGCGCCGTAGGTAAAAGCGACGCCTAAGGGGTTGCGTAATTTCGATAGACGCCGCCGAGGCCCAAGGTGGGGTCCCCCTTTCATCCCTTTCCCAATTTTCCGAATCCGCCTTTTCATCTCTGTCTCGCGGCCACGGAATCGACTGGCCAGGTCGTCGACGCAGGTACGAAGAACCCGAGATCGGGTTTTGATGTTCTCATGGATCCTCCGCGCGAATAAATCCTGATACACAGATCTACCTGAGATCCCCGGGGGACATTAACAACGGCTCGGCACCTTCCTAGAGCCTTATACCCCCGGTCTTTAAAAAATAGGGGATGCTTCTCGGTATGGTCGTTGCGGTTCCAACTGTCGGAGATCACCGGCGAAATCATTAGTTACTCGAGAAAATTGTAAACATGATTACAGAAGTTACACAGTTCCGAAAGCGCGAAGGTAGATTTTTAATAGAGCCAGCCAGATGGGTTTTTCAACGACCACAATAACCAAAATGTATCGTCTCGATGCATTTTCTCGAAGAGACAATTTCTCGAATGTCCGCATTTACTTCGATGTTAAATTATTAATATCAGAGGAACAGAATTTTATATGAGTTTGAAATAAAATGGTGAGCATATCCATTAGGATATGCAACGATTACGTTGGTACATTTCTACGCGAGAACAGAAGCGTACATTATTGTATGCCTGCGCGAATTAAAATTGCCAGACGTCGACAACAGATTTTTCAACCGGATAAAATAAAATACGATTCGAAAATCGCTTCTACGAAGTTTCGCGAACTCGTAGGGCCCGAAGCAATTGCAATAAATTGCAGAGGCTGGTCCGAGTTAACGTACGATTCTCCGAGAATTTTGAAAATGCGTGGGAGTGAGGTATTTGCGAGCAGAGCCGAATAAATAAGGGTCGAAGGAGTCGAAAGGGCCGCAAAAGGTGACTTGAAATGATTTCGTACACGTTTCAGCGTTAAATGGATTCCGCGGCAGATATTCCTGAGGGATCGCATGCAGGCCCGGCGTTATGCTTGCTATATCCCGGGCCGGATCCTTAAATCGACTCGATTTTTAAGGTCCGACCCCGTGGAGGAGGCCTCGCCACGGGGATCCTGTGTTTCTCTTGCTCTCGGCGACGTTCTCCGTTTCATCTTTGCTCCACATCGGTCCGCCTCGTACCCGCGAGAGACGATTGATAAAAATCAAGAACCGAGAAAACGCGGCAAGAAATGCCGCGCCGTTAAATCCAGCGGGATCGCTGGTTGCCCGTTGAAATCGAAACGCCTGGGAAAATAATCGTTATGCCCCGGGAACACGCGTTTTCATCGTGACTCGTCACCGAAATCCTCTTCGCGGTTTCGTCTTCCTGGATTTTCTGGCAGCTCGACAGCGTCGGAACGATCGAGACTCTCTGGATCTAGATCCTTTCCGTGCTATTTCCACGATTAATTGCCTCGGAACGGACATCTGTGCAACTGGTTCTTAATAGGAAAATTTTGATCCTCTTTAAGCACTTTGATCCTACTAAATATGCATGCTATTTGCTTCTTCGAAATGGAAATAAAATCCAATGTTCCCGGTGTCGATGTTCGGCATAACAATTACTGCATACGCTATATAAATATACGCTGAATATAAATTTTCCCTCTCGCGCAGGAATTTCAACGAAAGAAAGCGCGATGCGAGAGTTCGATTGTTGGAAATATTATCTAAAAATAGCTTCGCGCGAGCAACGGTACAATTAGTTTGACTTTAACGACTTCGTGAAATAAAATGCCATAGAATCCTTGAAACATTGAATATCCGCAACATCGAAACTCGAATTTTTTCTCGCAAGAATACCAACACCGTGTACCCTACAGGCAGTAAACACAACTCTGTAAATTTCTCGCCTGCGACAAAACAAATGTTTCGATCTCAACATTCATTGAAACGGTGTAGAAACCTAAGATTTCTCCGCGGAAAAATGCATTTATTGTTAAGCTTCGCAGCCGCGAGTTTCGATTTTAACGACTGATTAAGACGGTCCTCGTTCGGGCTCTACCGAAGAATTTTACGAAGACATTGATCGCTGTCCGACACGGAAAAGTGAGCGCCGTAAAAAAAATTCATTTATCGTCAGCTTTGCATACCTCGAATTTTAAAGAGACACAAATCTACTCGCCGCGGAACGTCCGCGCGGCTGTATACGCACTTACTAAGTATCGGCGGATCTTTATACGCCATCAAGTTAGCCGATTCGATTCTCCGACCACCAATCAACCCGTTAATCGATGTTTAATCACTTCGGACAAGCATTCCATCGCGAGCCAACAAAACAAACGATAAAATCCGCTTCGAACGTCCGCTGAAACAATTCTTCGTCGAATCGTTCCTCGAAAATTATATCAATTTCTTGCCACTTAGAGGAGTTGAAAGATCCGAATCGATCGCGTAACGAAGATCCGTGACGACACCCGACCCGAGTTGCTCCGAAAAAAAATAGAAGAAAAAAATTCGCCGACCCCATTTTTACGAGATACTTAAGCGTTTAAATGGTCCCCGGGTTCTCGGATTTCGAAAAATCTTCGCCGTGGAAATCGGTTAACCCCCGGTTGTCGACACAGCCGGTCCAGGGGGGGTTGCGCGATTTTTCTCAGGGGTTAAATCGACCGTGGCCCCCGAAAACTCGCGTATTTTTTTATTTTTCACTCGCTCCACGCAGGTAGCCGGAGCTACCTGCACGCGCGAGATTCTCCTCCGGTAACCCGGAAAACGAAAGGTGGCTGCCGGGAATCGAATAAAAAAGAAAAGCAACCCCCGGGGTCGCGGGGATAGAAAAGGTGAGATTACGCAAGAAACCTCGAGAAAGGGGGAAGAAAAACACGGTGCGCGGCTCGCCCCTGGTTTTCGATTCTCCCTCCTCCTCTGGAATTCTCCGTCTCGCCCCCTCCGGTGCGCCTGGGGGTAAGAAAACAGGGTAAAAGTGAGTTAATAGTCGGTAAAACGGTATTCACCCGGTGACCCGCCGGGGTTGCCGGCTTCTTTAGGGCCGCCGAGCCCTTTCTCTGCCTCTTCCTCTTCCGGAAGGGGTCGAATCGGTTCTTAGAGGGGTGGAAAGGGATCATCGTTTCCCATTCGACGCGCTACGGGGATGGAAAACCGAGACACGAGACACTCCTTTCGCTGAGAAATTTGAGTAATCGTTCCGGGATCGTCGAGTACCTTCGCTACCCCTGGATCCACGGTTTTTTAGGCCCAATCGGAGGGTCGAAGCTCGGGTGTCGGCGTGAGAGAGCTACGGCTCGGCTGAATTCGCGAATCATCCCTTAACTCGAGGGAAGCTTGCAGTCGATAGGAAATCGACGGGAAATGATTTT